CCCACAGGGAGCATCCTGACCTCTACTTTTACACAAGGACCTGCAGCTGTTGACCAGCTAACTATTTGGGGAGATGGAAATAACATGACACTGTTTTTAGTGCATTTAGTTTAAGTCCCTACTACAAAAAGTACTTGGCCAAGATGTCAAGGTCAGATTACGAGCAGGACTCCAGCTCCTCAAAGCTCCTTCTGGCTATTGCCAGGCAGATTCAATAAAATGCAACTGATTTGGGTTAGACAGCAAAAAATATTTTAGTAGAGGCAGAACTGATTTTATAGAGATCTGTATATATACACAGAGACCTATAGACTAAATTCCTGTATTAATGCATGGAATACATACAACATATGTGACAAAAGTGGAAATTTGCCTTTGCTGTCTTTCTAACATGCCCCAACCATGAACTGGAGGAGCAAGAGAATAGTTTAATCTCCATAGCCAGTTCAATTCTTGCCCTTTTTACTGAGTCTGCCAAGTAGATTGTCAGTTGTTGTGAAAGAAATGTTTGAATACATGACCTGAGTGTACCCTAAATGCTCAAGTACTAGAAGACAAAGAAAAAGAACCTCAGATTCATAATTTGTTTTAAGTCACATAATTTTAAGCCAATATGATTTCGGGAGGGGCCAACTCATGATTTTTGAATGCTTTGAGTTGGCAACAATACCTGCTTCTTAGATGTCTCTGCCTCATGGTAGAGCTTCTGTCTGTAATCTTCACAGTCCCTCCTGGGTACCTTCCGGTTAAAGATTTAAGTAAACAGTTTACATATCCTCACACATCTACTGCCTTTTATTATTTTCAAACTTCTCATAGGGAGAGTGAAAAAATAAAATCAAAACTATATCATAAGAGAATATTTGACTTTGTTCCTTTAAATTGTTTGGTTCTTGGTAATAAACATATCAGATCTGTATATTCTATATGTAGATATATAAAAAGGGATATGTACTTTCAAAAGCATTATCTTAGCCAGCAGTTGAAAGGATGCTGAGGAGCAATTGTCTCGTCTCCAAACTATTAGCAAAATACAAAACCAAAATAATTTGCACACCTAATATATTTTAAAGTATGAACACAGGTTTATTTTATTTAAAAAGCTTACAAAGAACAAATTTTTAATTACTTCTTTCCTTTTTCAAGTACAAACCCTCATATATTCAACACATATACTAGTATTTAGTAAATCAAAAGCCTGAAATTTAGAGTGATGATAACACATCTCAAAAATCACATTTTTAAAATTAAAAAAGAAAAGAGAGGGGTAGGATTTTGGAGAGGAGAAATACCATACTGTTATATTTAAAGGAAACTATCTGTTTATCGAGAGAGAGATATGTCTATCCATATATACACAAACATTAAGCAGAAAAAGATCCTTAATGTTACCTGTAATTAATGTACAGGTCTCATCTATAATAAAATCAATATTCTGCCCAAATAAGGTTATTATAACATGATCACCATAAAAACAAAATAATTATACAGTTCACAGAAATAAAAAGTGCGAAACTGAATCAAGCTAATTTAAGAATTTGCCTGAGCTCTATTATGTTACATTACATTATCTCATATGTTAATTAGGCCCTGATTTTCCAAAGATTTACACACATGCTTAATTTTGCACACTATGAGTAGTCTCAATGAGATCACATGTGATTATTTTTAAGCACATGGGTAAGTGTTTGAAGGATCAGAACTCATGATTATCATCACTTTGCTAAGGATGGCACTGCGCCAACAATCGTTTGTTTGATTTCCCACTCAAAGAATTATATGGCTTTAAAATTACTTAAGAAAAAAACTGTATTCATAATTACAGATTCCACTGTAAAACCAGTTACATTATTATTAGATTGCAAAAACACTATGGGCTTGTCTACAGGGCAAGTTGCTGTGCAGCAAGCCAAGGTATCCCTCTTCTGTGGTTCAGCACCACTCTAGACGTCTGGCTCCCCAGCAGTTGCCTTTCTTGGGAGGAAAACTGCATCTCTCTCCCTTCTAACTAGGGTATTATAAGGCTGAACAGTTCCCTGCCTTCACTGTGTTATTCCCCAGCAAAGTGAGGCTGCCTAACCATTCCTGTTTTACTTATTCCGCAAAGACAGTAAACAGTGTAATTATCATAGTTAATCTACCACACCGCTCTTTCTAAGCAAAAACATTTATTCTTAAGGTAAAAGCATTAAAGAAACAACATATTAAAACTAATCAAAGAACCGACACAGAAGCTAATAAGCTTACCAGAGATCACCCCCTCACTCTGACAAGACCTCTTGCTGATCATCAGTCTTCAAACCCTATACAGGGTTTCCCTGTGGTCACCAGTTCACGACAGCTTCAGCTCAGAACAAACACCCAGCCTGGGCCAAATCCTTCCAACCCTTCCCTAAGGATTGGGGACCCCCGTGGATCAGATGTCCGGTTGGATGGTTTGCTTGACCATAAAGAAGGCCCCGAAACAGTTTAAACTCAGGCTATTTATCCAAAAATCCTTGCTTTGTCTGTTGGTCTCCAGAGAATCCAGTCTGATCAGTATATGTGAGCCTCTCTCCAGGTGGGCGTACCTCTCTGGAGGTGTTATAAGCTTAATTAACTTGCCTACCCTCTGTCCCCCGTCATTCTTTTTAGTTCCTGGAGTAGCACTGGTCCCCCTTGTTCCCTGGGAATTATACAAAATCCCTGGCCCTCATCAATGATATCCCTGGACAATGATACATCAACTTAATTCAGTAAGGTTTGTCCAGGATATTGCAGGAAATTGCCATACCTGTCACACGGACAGTGCAATGAAAGTCCCAGAAACTGCACACCAGGACTTTCATTGTGCTGTAGCAGTGTCCGCTGGCACACTGCAGATTCATATCCTGGCTTGCCGTGCAGTAACTTGCTGTGTAGACAAATCCTACAGTTTATGACTGAGAAGTGATCCAGGCATGCTCATCTGGGGAATAATTAGGTGCTGCTGAGCTAAGATAAAACTCAGAACTTTACAAAGAGGCTGGGCTTCACACTCACGATAAGCATGGGCTTGGCTAGGAGCCAGCACAGGGAATGCTGGAGATGGAAGAGTTGGTCTGTTTATATTATTTTGTGTTTATAGATAGTCCTGTTTTGCAAGTTTTATGAAGGGAATGTGTCCAGGGACACTGAGGGGGTTTTGTTGCTGTTTTAATTGTGCTAGATACAAAAACAATAAACCTGAAACCTTCAAAGAGGATTTTTTCATTTTGCTTAACCTAAGCCTCCTATGAACTTTCTATCTGGCTGTTATTATCTCAGCCCTGTCACAATGATAAATATAGAGTGCTGCTTCCTGCATGTTGGACCTGATTAGTTATTTATCACAGAAAGATGTTACTTGTTTTTTAAGAGATGGGTACTAAATTTCACAGTGTCAACAAAAAGAATTAAAAATATAAAATCAGAAAAAGAAGGTGAGTTTCTATTTATTTGTTAGTTATTAAGATGTTCAGGATACACATTTAGGCTCTAATCCCATCATTGTCACCAGTGATTTTAAAATAAGAAAAATGTTTGCAGCTGATTTCCCCAAAAACGTTTGTATACATTGAAAAATTAATAAATACATCTCACTGACAAATTGCACATGGATTAATGCTACTCTTAAGAGTTTTTTTTCTGAAAAATCACGTGGGCATATTCATTGCTCTCTCAGAAATGCATCCGATGCAGTGAGCTGTAGCTCACGAAAGCTTATGCTCAAACAAATTTGTTAGTCTCTAAGGTGCCACAAGTACTCCTTTTCTTTTTTCAGAAATGAGGGACAATTTAAAATGATGACTGAATGATATTTAAAATGTTTTATTGAAACACACTAATAACAAATTCATCATAAGGTCCTGATCACTTATGCATGTGTTTAATTTGACTACTATTGATGGGACTGGTTAGGAGTTTAAAATGTTTCATTGAAACACACTAATAACAAATTCATCATAAGGTCCTGATCACTAATGCATGTGTTTAATTTGACTACTATTGATGGGACTGGTTAGGAGTTAAGCGAGTGTTTCCGGGCTTGGGGCATAAGAGAGAGAGATTTATGCTCTGATCCTGTAAATGCATACTCACATGTGTAAGTTTACTCATAGGAGTAACCCCATGGAGGCCTATGGAATCAACATCCAGATTAAATGAATCCAGAGTCTTCCTATTTTTAGGAAACATTTCAAAATCTTCCTCTTTGATAAAGTCTTTCCATATAGCAAGAATGGCAGTCACAAAACCAATACCCTTTACTACTCATCCTCCCTGAAACAGACCCCAAATGAACAAACAGACCACATAAACCAACAAATAACCCGCTCCCAAGGAAGGGTTTTTTTCCCCCCTCAAAGGAAGATGCTGTGAAGTCTAGCAGGGACTTTGCTCTTGCTAATCTATTTCACATAGATGGTGCTCAGATAGTAAGGTGACGGGTGGTGGCAGTATAAAACCCTTAGATATGAGCTTAGAAGATAATGTTTGCACTTCACGATCCAAGAGACACCGACAAGGTTTTCATCTCGGGGCCAAAAGACCAAACCCATCAAGACACTTGACCATAGTCTTTAACAGGCCGAGAAACAACTTACACTTGATCTTGGCTCCACGGAGCCAAGAAGCATATGCATAAATGTCTGCAGGATCAGGGCAATACTCCAGTATACTCCAGCTCCCCCAGGTCTTTCCTTTCTCATTTTAGTTAGCAGGTTAAAAAGCTCCTTTATTTCCCTTTTCCAGTCCTCTCCCCTTTCTCCTTCCCTTTTCTCGCTCAGCGCCTTTGGCAGGCGAGATGCTCGTTATCACTATTTTCCTGCTCATAAGCTTCCCCCCCCCCCAACAAAAAACAGCCCAGGGTAAGGTTAATAACACCGCTGTATGTTGGGAGGCAGTGCAGCGGGCCCTTTAAAACTGAGCCACCGGGCTCTGCCTCCGCCCATCTCCTGCATGGGCCAGGCCTCCTCCTGACCCAGGAACAGGAACGTCCTCTTAGCGGGCCGGCCGGCTGGCGGCTGGGACCCGGGACCCGGAAGGCGTCGCGCCGCAGACTCCGTACATTGAGTCACGCACAGGGGAGGTTGCAGGAGCCGCAGCGGCAGCAGGCGGGACGCTTTCTTTTGCGTGTTGGGGCTGAGCTGCGGTGTACGCGCTGCATCCCCTGCTCCCGAGTCAGCGGGAGCCCCGTGGCCCTGGCAGTTTGGGGCCCGCGGGTGGGGGGTGGGGGCAGGTTGGCTTTCAGTGCAGTGGCAGGTGCTTGGTTTCCAGGGCAGGTTGCTGCCCTTGCTTCCCCCAAAGGAGGGGAGAGGGTGGGGTGTTTGCAGCGGCGAAGAGGCCCGAGGGGGAATCCTCCAGCACAGCCGCAGCCACCATGGGAGCTGAGCAAAGTGCAGAAGCTGAGAACCGGCCAAATGACCTGAGCAGTTCAGGTCGGTCTCTCTGTGTCCCCCCACCCCCATCTCTCTCACCCCTTTGCTCCAGTCATAACCCACCAGTCACAGGGGTATGCGGTAGGGGACGGCAGCAGCAGCAGCATAAACCCTTGTGTGCAGTCTGGATTTCTGGGGCGATTTGGGTGGTGCTGGTTTGAGGAGTGGCAGGGATTTTTGTGTACTCTTGTTAATACGTAGCTGGATGATTATATGTCTTACTGAGCCATATGTGTTTGCATGGTGTTTTACAGGAGACTAAAATGACACAGTCCCTGCTTATACATGTGTCAGGAATGCAACAAATTGACAGCAAGAGGGGTAGTGAGGGGGACAAGACACAACTTCTATAGCAAGGGAAAACAGCATTTGATGGTGGAGCCTTAGGGGTGTGTTGTGCCCCCGCTCCCCACCGCAGAAAGCAGCTTGTATATGTTGCTATAGTTCTTCCTTTTATTCCTGTTGTAGGTGGGCGATTGTGAAGTGGCATCTGTGTATGGAGGGATCAGGATGATGAGGGGGTGGGTAATTTGTATACAAGAGGTGGGAGACTGTTTGATCCCAAGGGGTGGCAAGGCAGAAGAATACTAAAATATCTCTTAAGAGTAAGAGATGGGAACAGAAACAGAGATGTTGTTCAGAGCCTTGAAGGTGAGGATCAGCATTACATTCATGCAAAAGATGAAACGAGTGAAGGGACAGTGAAGAGGAAATTTGTGGCAAAGGGAGAGAAAGATCTGTCTAATTTCATCCCTGCATGTTAATGATCATATTGTGTATACTGGCAGATGTGTCTCAGGAGAGTGGGGGAATACGGCAGGCAACATGGCCACAGAGTGTCTTGTTAGCACACTTCATCTCTCTCGGGCTATGCTGCATGCTAATCAGATGGCCATGGGAGGATGGAGGAGCTTTTAGCCCCAGCCAAGGTTTCTGGAGAAAGGTGTGGAAAGAGACTTCAGCAGAGTTTGTTTTATTTAATTTTCATCACAATGAGTAACAATATTAGTTTAAAACAAATAGCTGAAACACCATGTACAACCAATTAACTGCAGAAAGTGACTGTAGCAGGAAATATTTTGAGGATTTTAAAAAACCCTAAATGTAATGGGATAGTGTCACCTTCAAAATCATGTGTTGTCAAAAATATCTTTACTTGTGTTACTAAAACCCTCTAGAGTATTAAAAATGAAAGAACTATAAAAATGCTGTATTTGCCTCTGTGTGTGTGTGTTTTATATGTACTTTTTTACATTTTTCTAGATAGTGGCATGAACAAAAGTGAAACTGACTTTGTAAATGTTCACTAAGTCCCTAACTGTCTTGTAGGGGTGTTTTTTTTTTTTTTTTTTTAAATGGAAACATTTCTGTTGTTCTTTGGCTTGTTTTTAATAACATTAAAATTTTAGGTCAAATTTAAGTTTATAATGACACTCTCTAGAATTTTAAGAAGTGCAGCATGTCTGGGTCTAAGTGAAGGTTTGAAATGGCCAACAGCAGTTACTTTCTGAAAGCTTAATCTACTTTTAAGTAACAAATATTCTTTATTCTGCATTCCATTGACTTTTAAAAAACCCTGGAATAATGCTATCAAGCAGAACCTCTTATAACCAGTGAAAGTAGAAGAGCACTATGAAGTCCATTTAACTTACCTGGGAGGCATCTAGGTACTCCAGTGGTGGCTGCTATAGAAAACCTTTAATATAGACAGACTGCACACACCACAGTCATATTTTTTGACAAAGGATGAAGCAGATCAGTAGTGACAGAGTTAGCACTGTACGGCCTTATTCATTTAAATGTTTGATTTACTTATTTTTTCCCCACAGCATCTCCTTCTCCAGCCAAGCAACGAGCTAAAATGGATGATATTGTGGTGGTGGCTCCGGGAACACAGTCCTCGCGGAACGTAAGCAATGATCCTGATGTGATAAAATTGCAAGAGATTCCAACTTTCCAACCCCTTTTGACCGGTAAGTGAGAATTTTCTGTTCTCTTCCCCCTGCCCCCCTGGCACTTTTTCCCCTTAGGAAACTCAGTGGGGGACACAACCCCATCTCTATCAGAGTCCAGGTTTCTGATGATCTAATCACTTCCCTTCTTTCCCCAATCTATGTTTTATGCCTTGCACCCATAAGCCCTAAACTGCTGTTGCTATCCTGAGGAGTGGTGAGCCGGGGCAATGACATAATGGGAATGTTGGAAGTTCTGCCTCTCCCAGAGGCCAGGGGCACGCTTTTGTGATTACAAGAGATCTAGAGATCTGGTTTAGTTGTTAGGTTGCCCAGCCTGGTCCGAGTACGTTAAGACTGTTTTGGACTTTTTGTTATTGGAGGCTATTGGAAAATGGGTAGAGAGAAAGAAAGTACCCTTTGGCGCCTATGGAACATAATAGTGTCCCCTAGTATCAGTTCATTTCCTTTATTCCCACCACATCGTCTTCCTTCCCTTCACCCCATCCTTATTCTTTTGCTTGTTCTATTCCCCTTTCTGAGCTGACCTTTCCGTTGTCCCTGCTGCTCAGTTGCTTTTCTGGTACTTTGTATGAAAGTGATACTTCACATTTCTGAGTGTGTTGCTGATAGGAGCACCATGTCTGTCTGTTACCTTGGTGTTGCCTGCATGCTATATAGCAGGGGTGGCCAAACCGTGGCTTAGGATGAGCCATATGCAGCTCTTTTATAGTTAAAGTGCGACTTGCGGAGTCCCCTCTGCCCCCCGCCCCCGACTCCTTCAATCTCTTCCTACCGGACTTGCGTGGAGGGAGTGGGAGGCACAATTTAAAGATTTGCCCCCCCCAACAGCTTGAGTCATGCCCCCTCCCCCTTACTCTTAGTGGCCTCTCCCTCCAGCTCTCAGCTGTTTGCCATGCCTCTCCCACTGCTGCAGCAGCTCCCAGCTTGCCGGCTCCAGCAGCTGCCGTTCAGGGAGGGGGGCCATGTGGCACCATGTAACCAAGGGGGCCAGCAAATCCTGGCAAAAATGTGAGGGGCGGGGCTTGTCCCCACATGGTGCCTCTGGCTTCTGCCCAGTGGGGTGGGGGGGTCTTGGGGTTCCAGCCCCATGGGGCATGCCTGCCAGGGCTCGGGGCTTCAGCAGGAGTGGGGCTGGAGCTCTGAGCCCCGGCAGGTGCCACCAGCTGGGCTGAAGCCCCAGGCCCTGGTAGGTGCACCCTGGCTCTTGAACTTCTGAAGATTGTCGTATGCGGCTTGGAGGGTCAGTAAGTGGCCACCCCTGCTATAGAGATTGAGAGTGTTATAGACTAGGCTCTGAGTTTTGCGGTTCTGGAGTGCTTCTGTTCTGGGGAAGCTCCTTAGAGCTCTGTATGGTTATGCTTTGAGGTGAGGCAAGGGGATGAATGCAGCAGACGTGGCCTTGGAAGGATCCTTTCCAGCAAAAGGGAGGTAAGGTGGGCAAGCAGGGGAAGCAAATGGGTGGAGGTGAGGGAAAGGGATAAGTGAGGACACTTCATTTGGATTGGTATTCCCAGGAGAGAAAAGAGACCACTGTGCTCAAAATAATCCATGTTTGTGACTTGCTTCAAAGCCTATCAGCACTGCTTCATAACTAGCTATAATGTTGCTGAATGGTGTGGGAGAATGTCATCAAAGGGCTGAAGTGTTGCCAGTTTGGTGCACTCTACCTTTGCCAGTCCAAGAATCCAGAGACCAGGAAATGGAACCTGAATCCCACATAAGACTGTGCAGAGAACTGAACACTAGGTCACTGGTGACCAGCCCCTTCCTCCCCTTAAAAAATAAATAAATAAATTATACAGTTTGCTAGGAAGTCTTTAGCCATTTAATTGGCTCGACCATGTAGGTCATGCTGACATCTGCTGGCTCTTGGGCAGAGCTGCAAACTAGACTATATTGCATGGAATAAATAATTATATCCTGTCTTTCCAGCCCAAGTGTCGTATTTGTAAAACAAAATGTGTGTGATTCTTGCACTGAAATCACTGAAAGCAGCATGACTTAGGATACGGCACTGGACTGGGACTTGGGAGACCTGGGTTCTATTCATGGTTCTGCGACTAGCCTGCAGGGTGACCTTGGAAAGTCACTTCCCATGGGTAAAATGGGGATAATGATCCTGACCTCCTCTGCAATGCGCTTTGAGAACTAATGATGAAAAGTGCTGTATAGGAGCTAAGTATTACTACAATTTGGCATGCACCTGGGAAAATCTTGCGCTGTGTGTGTGTGTAGTTTACATGGAGGGAAGAACAGATTTGAAACCTAGCTCAAATCAGTGAAGAAAAGGAAACTGGGAATTAATTGTTTTATTAAAATCCACTTTTATTAAATCTTAGACAAATTTAAGCAATGCTTAATGTAGTCAGCCGGTATCTCCTTTGCCATTTGCCTTTGGGTTTGCTGACCTTGGTGCATTGTAGAAGTTATAGTTATACTTGGATGACTAGTCCTTGAACAATTTGTCCTGTATAATTGACATCCATCAATAGGTTCTCTGTGCCAGCAAATCTTTACTTCTTCCTTTTTTTTCCCTCGCCCCCTTAAAAAAAACAAAACAGAACAACCCATGTATCTGTTGCAAGGAAAACCATCTGGCCTCTCTTGAATGTTGAACATGATGCTGTTTTCTGGAGAACGCTGTTAACCGTTCAGTCTTCCAACATAAAAAATAAAATGAGGTGTGTTTCTATGAAATGTCTGGGGAGATTAATGTCCCCTCCTCCCCTCCCCCATCTTCTTTAATTGCTAGGAAAATTTGCATGGAAAACCAGGATTCCACTTGTCAGCCGTGCTTCTGCTGCTTAATCCTCACCTGAAATCCTAACGTTTTATCCTTGTGACTCCCATTAAGCTGTTGAGGAGAAGACTTGGATTTTGCACATTGCCAGTTATTATTTCAAGGGGGGAATGAGCAGCAAGCTCTAGTGGACTCTTAAGAGGCAGAGATCCTGTTTGCATGCAAATACCCCTAGTAATAAACATAGGGAATTAAAATACAGAAAATGTGATCTATTGCACAGTTAGCAGAGTGGTCTCTATGTAGCATGCTTGTCAGTTTTTGTCCTGAGGTGTCGGTAGCTCTCTAAATTCTGTTGTGGAATCACTTTGCCATTCTCAAATATATTTTTGAGTTGTGACTTTTTTTAACACACCCAATTTACCCTCCAGTCCCATTTTAAATCAGTTTCTGTTGCACCAGTTGATTAAATGTATGTACTAATGCTTTAAACTGGCAGTACCAAACTTCTTGTCTTCAGTAGGCATCCTCTGTGAGGAGAGCTGGAAATGGCTTCCTCAGGTACAAGACAAACCCCCTCTGAGGCAGTTATAGGAATTGCAGGAGAACATCACAAGGTGCTTGTTCCTAGGACCGAACATACACTTCAGTGCTGCCAGCCGAGGGGGGAGGAAGTGGGACATGAACTTGTATCTCTGAAATGGCAATGCAGCATGTTGAAACTAGACTGCCTTGCTGACCCAGTATGTGGTGCACTTTGTCTTCTGTTGGTGTGAATGTAGTGCTGGTGAAAGATGATTCTCTCTTTGTATTTTGCTAGCTCCGAAGACCCCTAGTCACAGATCAGGACCCTGCTGTACTAGGTGCTGTACAAACACAGAACAAAAAGACAATCCCTGTCCCCAAGAGTGAAGTTCTGTTCGACAGCCCAGGAAACTGGTCTCTAGAAGTTGCAAACACAGAATTTGTCCCTTAGCAATTGCCTGACCTGATCTTGCATGTGATTCTCACCTAAATGCTCACTGGTCTCCGTGCTTAGTATGTACTATCAATATGTAGCAAGTGGGATTTTAAATAGGTCGAAATACAAGGCACCTCAAAGTGGCTGACATTTTCAGAGTTAACTAACAGACCCTTATGATTTCTCTTTTTCAGTTTTTCCATAAATGCCACTAAATAAAAGTATAAAGGTCATTCCCTAAATTTTATGCCACTTTCAAAGGCAGATTCTTCAAACCCTTAACTCACATGTCTGCTCCCAATCAAGTTAATGGAACTGATTAGTGTGAGTTTTTGGAATTAGTTATGGGATATGCACCCCAAATTAGTGTTTCACAAAAGAGGCTGAAAGTCATTGTCATTTAACAATGGCTTCTCAGTGGCTAGTGGGCAGGTATTCACATTAAAAATTACACTGACTCCCATCCTTGTTGGACGGGTCATCAAGTCAGCATGGGGACCACACTAGCCACTAGGCCCCAGAGATGGGTGATCCCTCTGGGTAAGGGGATTGAGGCAGGGTACTGTGTGGAAACTTGCACTGCCCATATTGTACCTGTGCTATGGATAAACAGAAGGCTTCATTTCCATTGTTTATTAACCCTGCATCTTTCACCAACACACAAAATTCACTTTGAAGTTATAGATATTCATCCATCTTCATTTGCATATTAAGTCTTTTTAGTGTCAAGAGCTCTGCAGGCACTGCTGGGGGTTTTGATTCAATGATTGCAGCTGAAAAACCAACGTGGAAAAGGGAAGCATTGCTCCAGAAGTAGAGTGCTCACCCTATTGGTCAAGATTGTATTCTATATTTCACACACTAGCGTGTGTGTATATGATTTATTCCTTCAGTGTGTGTTTCAACAACTTAAGATATATACTAAATAAAAGGCTGTTGGGAAGTAACTAATGTTACCTAGAACCTATGATGTCATTTCAAAACTACTTAAAGGAAACTCCAAGAAATTTCCTTTGAGTGCTTGGCTGACAAAATACAAATAACCTTCAGCACCTTTACTCTCGTAGGTATTCTAATTGGCTATGCGACTTTATTTTCATTGGGGAGTTAAGCCAATTCAAGATGACTGTTTTCCCCTCTGCATTCCCCGCTACAAAGATCTCATTCCTGAACCAGGTAGAAGGAGAATGCTTGAGATGGCCTTTTTTAGGAGCTAAGCTGCTGCCCCTGTTTCACACTCATGCATTGCCGGCCTGGAGAGCTAGAGACCTAAACCCATATACCTCATGTGGCAGA